TTTAAAAAATGTGATTAAGTTTCTTATTGATCTACTTTCATTAAAGAATGTATATACCTACATTGATTATTTGAAGAATTCTGACTGAAAAAGTATTTTAAAGAAATAATAAAGTCCCATTGTAAATATACTTTTGAAAGTTTTTTAATATATAATAGTTGCATAAAAAGTTCAATATTATAAGTATATAATTTATTACCTATATAATGTAGGAATATAATATAAAATCTGAGTGTACTAAAAAATATTTTGTTAATTGTAAATTATCATAACATACACTGTATATATTTTTAGTGTGTATAATTCCAATTTTAAAATGATCATTCGGTCTCATTATTTGAAAATAATTAATATTTATACCTACTATATTATCTAAAATTATATAATAAATAATTCAATTCGTTGTAATTAATCAGCGATTAGTAAAAGTTTAACAATAGTGTAATAAAAGTTAAAACCATCAGAAGCAGTATAATATATTAAATTTCATATTGAACAAATAGTTACATAAATAAACGATTTTAAACTCGGTGAATTATAAACGCCATAATGCCATATAGTATGATATTAGAAATCTGTTAATAAACTGTGGTCCTATTCTATTATAATATAGTATAAACGGTCGTGAAAGATTGAATATAATAACTGAAGTTATATACAGCTATGTACCCACAGGCTATCATCATATTTTAAAAAGTTATCGTGTTAAACGTTACGTTATGCATTAAAATTGTATGCATTATAATAACATAATATAATATTAATCTTTGTTCCGAATACAGTTTTTGAAGTGATCGTGGGCATAAACATTAAACACTGCAATTGTGTCCCTAGACCAATTTCTAATGGGGACGAACTGGACGTAATATAATATATTGTATTCTGTGCAAATATCACATCATTATTCATTAATATTGTGTACAAAAAAACCGTACCACCGAATCCTGATTATAATTCTGATACCGGTTTTGGAGACAACTTTCCGAACGCGTGCGCTACCAGTCGACGAAATCCAGTGAAGGCGTAAATCCACAGATGTATAAGCAAACTAGACAGGCAGGCAGACGACTCTCGTATATCGTAATGAACAAAATATGATGTTTGCCTCCATATTCCAAGAGCGCAAACAAGTGATATGATAAGAATATGACAAATTAATAATTAGTTTTAATAATTGTATTTGATTAATAATTAACTACAGAAATGGTGAAGAACTGTGATACCGTATCAATTAATGATAACATTGTTTGCACAAAAATGGCGATTAGCTTCAATGAAAATCACAGTCTGTATTTAGTTTGTTTGTATAGGTATAGCTGTGGGTAAATCTGAAACTGCGGTCCGTGAACGATCGCCGCATGAGATCAGCCCCAGACGCAAATGTGGTATACTCGATCGATATGATCAGTGATCACCGTCGTTACCGTTTACCGAACACGGTATTTCGAACGGGTAACCGCAACATTTTCCATTGGTGAGTCTTTGGAAAATGGCTGTCATCGTCTTCGGTTTTCTCCGCGTCATCCGATTCTCGTTAAAATACCGTTTTTGCGTGGAAATAAGTGAAAAGAGTAGGTACCATCCAGATGATATCGATTTTTTATAGGGTTTTATAAATTCTAGAACGTATTTTAAATATTGAAAACATACTATATAACATGTAAGTAATAATTAATACATTATTATAATGCTTTTTTTGTATACATTTTGACACAAATTGCAGTAGTGTGACTATAATATTCACTCTGGATATTTATTTTATATACTTATTTTCACACTAAAAACCATTATTTACTAAAACTATATAGAACCAGAGCTTTTTTTCTGTAAATTTGATTTAAGAAACCTAAACTGGAACCGAAAAAACTTTACAGATTTGAAGCCCGTGCGTAATAATAGAGTGGCGTTCAGACGTTCAGTGTTGCGAAATTCCGCCAAAACGAGTCTGTTGACATGTTTGTACTTGGATACGTATATTCAAGTCTTATCGTCTATTCGTCTGCACCGGTACAACAAACTACGTAGCCCATTTCCAGAGGATTACGTTTTGGTCACCAAGTCAAGGTAATATAATATGCACATTGACATCAATATTGTTCACAGGTTTTTTGTGGGGTTAGCCAGTTCATTATTATGCCCATCTATATATACGACCATTATTTAGAATTCATTTATATATTACAGCGTGCAGTACTCGAATTGGAAAAAATTAAGTGGAATAAGAGCTCATTTATATACATTTAAAAACTACTTTCCAAGTGTAAAATTATTTGATGCAGACCCACCAGGGGGAGGGGCGAACCAACCCTTCTCTCCAAACCAGCAGTCTCGATTAATTATTCAATAAAATCTTTGCTGAAAAAAAAATTAATAAAATTAATTTATATTGAAAAGTATCTTATTAAAAATAACGTATCCCCCTTTCCTCCCGTCCTGATGAAAATAATTTTTAGAGGCGCTCTCATTATAAAAAAAAAAATTGTGGATCAGCTCCGATCAACTGCGCATTTCCTCCCATAATTTAAGCGCTGACAACTTGTGTATATTATAATATATATAGGTTTGTAAAAGATTCCAAATAAAACGGAAGTAAGAATTGTCAAGTATAACTAACCGAAGTGTATGACGATTTTAAGTTATATTATTATGAACAATTATTGTACATAATCGACTCTTCGCTTATCATATTTGCAGTATTGAAGTTTGTAAGGTCCAAGTTAAACGGGTGGTAAAATAACTGTTGAAAATATTGTCGACGATGATTGAATGATGATGGTGAAAAATGTTAAAATGTTTGTTATCAAATATCTGCGTGTCTGGTTAGGCAATATCTGACAATTTTGTGTATGTAAATCATCAGTATCATCATACAATTCTGAAGTGGTTATAAACCCGAGTAGGTAGGTATAGTCCGGTAAAAGCAATATAATATTCAAGTACTTATATACCTATAGGCTATAGGTAGTAATAAAATGAGCTGTGTAGGACTTATCCGTTGCAGCAGTAGGCGTAATTCCACTGCAGTGTATTACGCGTGTTCGGTGTTGTGACCTACGACTTACGAGGGACATCGTTTTCATCCCTATGTATAAATAAACCTGCATCACGAGGGTTGAGGGGCGTTTATTAGGCTGGAGAGTTTATTCCGGAAGACACTTTTCCTGGTAGTAAAAAAATCTCATAACGTTTAATGCAGTACGCTGGTACAGTGGTGTATATATACGCAGCACTACTATTACACTTCAGACAGATCACATTATATTATATAAGCCCAGTAGTTTTCAAGGAAATCGCGAAGAAATGTAAACAAACGAACACCCAGGCCGTAGTTTTCAACAGAATCGGCTTTTCGAGTTCAACGATTTATCGTTGCTTTTAAATTTAAAGACACCCGCCCATTTGGCACGCCCAAGTGCCCAACTCCTGTATATCATAGATTATTTGTTTGTAAAATATATTATATATATATACCTATATAGATATATCAGTGCAGTTGCACACTGGTGGTAGAACACTCAACGGTTTTAATCATAAAGTCCTACCTATAAATAATTTAAGGTACCTACCTATCTAATGGCCGTGATAATCGCGTGTTAGTGTTATCGAGCGTGTAATGCGGGGAACGATCATCTGTTATCATGATTCATGACACGTATAAATTATTGTACAAGATAATATTATGATATATAAATATTGTATCATGTACTGTTCGTGTTGTGTTAATTTAAAAAACTTCCATTTGCTGTAGTATAGTCCTCAAACCCGACTTCAGACGAACGGATTACGATGGGCTGACCTGTTTCAGCGATACCTACCGAGTCAATTTCAAGTCGACAGTTTATTTTGGCGGGACTAATTTTCTCCAAAAAAAAGAGAGGTACTTTCCGTTTTCCTTCACACATTTGTTTAGACAAGAACCATGTTTATACTTTTCCGAATATTAAAATCATATCATACATATTTATTTTCTAAATACCTATAAGAATTATTTATTTTATTTGTATGAGATAAATATCAAACCTTAATTAATTATGACAACAATTATTTGATCTTTATTCTTATATACAACTATATAGGTAAGTATATTTATAACACGCGTAATATAATTAATTCATAAGTAGTTAAAATATTAAAGATAATTTGTGTATCATATTTATCTATATTTATTAGAATTTGAAGTTGTTGTAGTTCCAAAACTAGTAATATTTTAATATATTTTATCACAATGAACTTCAATTTTAAATAATTTCATATTTGATGTTTACCTAATACCTGTCTAACGTCTATACATCCCAATACAACACGTATATATAGTGGCCAATATTCCTTGACAGAAAATGATAGGTACCAGCTAGCTCTCGTTCAAATTAATAAGCCATAAATCCTTTATCCGAGTACTATGAAATAATATCTTTTGCAGATTCGAAATCAGCGATGAGACCCGGCGACCACCGTGCTCAAAGTTTGATCAAAGATGCTTTTTGGGGCGGAACTCGAGTCGAGAAATCCGATATCTTGACGACAAATTATTGGCTTACGAGTACAATATAATAATTATTAATTATTGTTCGGCGAAAGCGTTTAATGGATTGTGTAACATTATAATTGTGCGGCGTTAAGTGACGATTTCTGAGGGGAAACCGAAACCATCGTCGATTTGGCAACGGAATTCGCGGGCGATTTGTTACGTAGGTATATATATCACGTACGTACCTATCTATATTGTGTATTATTTAAGAGCGGATTTATCGCACGGCACGTCAGCGGAGACACGCGTTGGCGGACGGTATAAACGATAAGTATTAATATCTGGTCGACCGTTCGGTATTTATCGCAATCGCGGTTACCACCCGGCCAACCTCAGCCGAATCACGGTATATAATATATACGGCGTCGTACTATTATTATACAGCCTGGTTACGTAAACAGCCGGCGGTGGCAAACCGCGGACACCGCTCGCACCTATTAATATTTATATTATGATAACGTTAGATCCTCACCTGGGTATGGTGGACAGGCTGAGCGACGACCGGCTGGACAGCGGTTCATACCGGCCGGTTGCGCTGAGCCAGACGGCCACGTCGCCGTCGTCGTTGAGCGAATTGCTGGACGACCTGCACTCGTACGGCTGCCACAACAGCGACGATATGGCCCGTTCGTAGTTGCTCGTGAACGTCCTGCTCCTGGTCAGACTCGACACGGCGCCGCCGCCGCCGCCGGCCGCACCGCCACACGTCCACGTCCGTGGCCTGCGCCTCTGCGGGCCGTTTCCCTGCAGCGCGACGGCGCATCCAACGGGTGGCGGGCAACACGCGCACTGCGACGACCACGGCGGCGACACGTCTTGGAGCTGGTTCGCGTCACCACCGGTTATAGTGTACACCGCCGTGGCCGTCGCGTCCGCCGGCCGCTTTCTCGTCTTGTAATTGACGGCCGTGTCCCGTCCGCCGACGCCGCCGTCGTCCGGCTGTTCTTCTCCGCCGTCGATCATCGTCCGTCCCGCGACGACACGACGACACTTTTATTATTGTTGTTGTTTTTGTTGTTTATGTTGCTGTAGCTGTTGCACTGGACCATCGACAGCACTCCGTCGGACGTTTCTACCTACAAGCAAAAGTTCAACAATCAGTGGCGGTCAAATTATTTTGCCATGCGGAGGGACGTGACCGATTTTTTAACATGCGCACTTTGATCATTAAAACATAACTTAAGGACTATAGATCTATTTATAAATTAAAAAGTTAATTAATAAGTAATAATTATTGTACATAAATTGGTAAACCATTTTGCCATTTTATCTGATACTTCACGTTTTGTGGCTATATTTACAACCCCACGATGAATAGCATAGATAAACGAAGCTATTGGTACCTACAACTCCAGCTCCAGAGTAACATGACAATTACACAATTTTTAAATATTTAAGTTGTAAATTAAAATTTTAAATATATTTTTAGTTTAACTAAGTATATAAAAGAAAATATGAGAAAAAACCTAAGAAGGCTATAATAGCTTATAATTTATGGAAATGTTTTACGTTCGAACTAGTAGTTTATAACTTATATTATTCATACAAATATTTCTTTATAGCCTATTATTAACCTAAAGCATATTTAATAAGTTCAGTATTTACCTCTACTATAGTCCTACCAGAGTTTATTTTTATTATAAGTTAGAAAAATAATAATTATGACTTCAACAATCGTGCATAAATATTCATATTTTATCAGATCATAAAAAATAATATTATTATTCACGTTATAATTTCTTTATAAAAATATATAATATTATTATAAATATTGAAAAAAAGGTCACTGGGAGATATTATATCCCTCATCACTTCCTCCATAATTTTCACCACCACTTTTAACAATAATCATAAATTATAGTATAATAAATTATTTCGGCGATTTATTTATTTTCTACAGCGTTAAAATAATAATATATTATACACCATACTCACTATATTATATCAACGGTTCGTCATATTATACATTATTCAAATGATATGTAGGTATCAGCTGAATAATGAATGTGTACAGCCTAATCATAAGCGTGTATAGTTTTATGACCAAACGTGATACGACGGAGGTGACAAAATACATTAATATACGAGTAGATATATACTCAATACTGCAATACGGGATTAGGTTTAATTAAATAGGCACAGTGACAGTCGTGAATGTGCCATTATGGTCGAATGGTTGTTATTTTTTCCAAAACGAATATATTATTATTATTATTATTAGGCAGTGTACAGTTTATAGGAAGCGGTTAGTGCGCACATCTATACACATCATAATAATAGCGATTACGCCAATATAATATTATGGTCGGCTAATATTATATCACGTATTCCTATATGGTACGATGGATTCCCTCAAACAGTCGTACTGCATAGTTTAGACATGGAATATATGGCTGTTCAACTATTAAAATACTTGTTTGCTCCCGGAATATCATATAGATTCGGAACACCGCCGCATAGTGGTATATTATGCATATCAATCTATGTAGGTATGTATGCAATATATATGCACGTATGTAATATGTATGTATAAAGTCAACGGCATGGAATCGAGACTGTTATTATTATCCGTGATTATTTATAGATTACGATTTACTGCGCCACGAAAAAATCACATTTTTTTTTTTACCTTTTTTCGTTCTATGTCAGTATGGGTACCTACTAAAAAATATAGAAAATGTGATCAATAAACCCTTTTTCCTTTTTTTTTTTTTCGTAAAAGGGGCGAGGTGATTGCACAACCGCTCATGTATTATGTACCTACACAAGCCACCGCCGGCCAAAAGTTGAAAATTCGAATATATCTGCCATTTAAGTATGGTATACCTACAATTTGTAAGTTTGTCAACTAAAAAATATTTGCTAGCCAAACAACAACCTATAATTATGTGAAAATACATAGTACCTGTTATAATATACGATATATTATTCGTCTTAATATTGGTATTGGTATTACCTACCTAACCTATTATCAAACATTTTTATTTTATAGGTAGATACAAAAAAAAAAAATATTTTGAATAGGTACGTTCTAGACATGACCACATATTGTATATTTGTGCTGAATTTCTAATTCATAAATTCTTTGATGACCTTGAAAGTGATTTTTACAACAATTTAAAAAAATGCATGATTATAAAATTATTAAGTTCTTGACGAGTTTTGTATGCATATTTTGTGAACTGTAAAAATAGACAGTACCAAAAGTTAATTATTAGTTGAACCTATATAAGTCGGTGTTTATTATAAAATCCAGGGAAAATTGCATATTATACATTTTGAATGTTGGCAAGAAGCCAGTTTTATGTTTATTGCGTTTTTAGAATACAAAATCATTTAAATTTGCTCGGTCATTATATAATATGTTCATAATTGTGTATGAATACTAAATATTACTAAATATTACTTTATTGGGAAGGTACGCTACACGCCATTCATTATTCGGTCTATTGTTTAAACTAATTACAACATTTATGATCAATGGTATTATTCACTATTATTCTATCAAAGTTAAAAATTTAAATTATACATTTTTTATAGTCTCATAATATTTTGGTTTTGGTGAATTTGAAATATGTTTTATAATTACTTTTTGAAATCATTCATAAGTTTCATAATAAACTTTTAAATATTTAAACTTTTAATATTTTAAATACGCATTTTTCTATCTGTTTAAACTCATAATTATTGATAAACAAGAAAGGGTGATTTTAAAATGTCTTTTTCACAACTTAAAAGTTCAACGCATATTTTGCTGGTTTTGCGTGATAATGACTAAAGTTTATAACGATGATCTCGGACGAAGATCAAATCGCTAGGTTTTTTTTTTTTAATTGTATGATGAATAAGATATGATAACGAAAAAACACATTTACACATCGTGTCGGTCGGAGAAATCGTATGGCGTGCGTCGATTGACTTGAGAACAACAACACTATCACCTATATTATCATCTTGAAGGTCAGCTGCAGTATATTTAGTGCATTACAATAATTATATTATGATATTGATATACATAACGAATACTACGGGGAGGAGACAATAATGGTTGCAAGTGAGTTGGGTGCAGCTGAATAATACGACGCATATAATATAAGGAAACCGGTATCATATTATATTGTGGTATGTTACACGTGTTATGATGGATGTCTAAAATGACATGGACGGATATTATGATATATTATGTTGAGACGAACATGGGAGCGTGCATGTGTATTAGGAGTGCTTTCGTATTAGACATGTTCGGAACTTTGGGTATTATATATATATTAGGTATATATGATATTGTTCAACAGTTGGAATTAAAGATTAAAGAGGTCTAAGTATATTATATCACTATCATATTGTTTTATTAAAATGCAAGAAGCATACCAGTAGTATGAACAGTGTAGCTGTTGTAACTATTGCTGGTGATTAACCCTGCAGATGTGTTTGGTTTTCAAATGAAAAGGTAAAATGTGTACCAAAGAGATTAAAAAATACACATGCGTTATTAGTTATTTGTATACATTTAAATAATACAATAATAATATATATACGACGTATAAACTGACCACTGGTAAATAAATAGGAGTGTTTCATCTTTCATGATACCGTATAATAATATGGGACTTCACTAAGTAACAGGATATTAAAACCATTGCAGTTATTTGCAATACCAAGAACTGAGAAGACATTCAGACTTTGTTTCCGGGATTACTTTAGACTACGCGCTTTAATTTAATTACAAAATTATAATAGGAACAAGAGCTGCATATTATATCAATTTCTATTAAACTAAAAAAAAAAATTGAATACTTTAAATCTTAAATCCTTTAGTCCTGTTTCTCTTGGGACAATGCGGTAACGTAATATATTATAATCATATTAAATTCAATATAAATCCTAAGTTTGCTCGTTGTTCATTATGCATGTATGGTAACTGAAAATAATTGGGTTTAACCAAAATCCGTACACGTTATTTAGGAAGATTCATTCGTATTTCATTAAAAAGCAGTTGCACTTGAAGCATCAGTAATTTCGGTTCAATTAAATGATAAGTATCTCGCATTGAGTTACCGCCTGTCGCAATAATTATTATGAAAGTATAATCGGACTAAGTCTGAAATATCTATGTACCAAATTGTGTCAATCGCGATTTTGAAAGGCTGTACAAATGAAATCAATTAACTTATAAGTCATAATTGTATAGAAAATGTTCCAATTTATTTTAATTACATTAGCAATAATCGTGTAATTTGTTTTGCACTTCTTAACTTAATTCAGTTGAAATAATAATGTGTAATTATAATAAATGATTTAAATCATCAAACAATACTTTTTTTAAGTACATGTTCGACGTTCAATCAAATTTGGTACCTATATATTTTACATTAATTGTACTATTTCCTTATTTTATTGTGTAAAGGTACATGGTATAAAATAATAATCTGGTTTGACGTAGTGTTAACGATTGTTTTTTATTTTCTGAAAATTATTTGTAATTAGTAGTTCATAATAAATCATTTTAGCGGAACTATCTCAACGTAACACTACCTACTTAGTAGAGTATTAAAAGTATAAACCGTTAACGATATTAAAGTGATATCATATTAGAAAATAAATATTTAATACTACCAAAAAGTCATAATAATTAATAAGGTTTATCATTATATATTATCTGTTTTCTCGGAAATCATAATTTAAGTAGGGACATTAACGCATAATGCATAGTATGCATTAAATATGGTTTTAAAGTCAAACGGCTATAATATTCTTTAGTAAGTAATAAATTACTTCAGAAACAGTATCGGTAAAACCCGGGGTAATAACTAATGAACACATTTTGAAAAAAAATAAGACGAGACAATATTAGTATATTCTTTATGTTATCTTAAAATACGTTCTATAACACAACCCTCCAGGCAACAGATACCATTTAATACCATTAATTTATTATGATTAATAATTAGTTATTACCGGCT